TTTTCGAACTATGCGACGTTTCTTTTGCGGTTCAGTATATATATATATATATTTTATGACTTTTAAAATTGCATTCTTTATTCCCACTGGAAACAGCTATCATATTTCTAGGAGAGATGCTTCAATTAAATCAGTCAATTGGGAGATAGTTCTATGTGTATTTTATTTGTTGTTAGCTTCTGGATGAGAGTTCTCAACAGAGTGATCTTCGAGTTAATGTTATAGAGACTTCTTCTGGAAAGATGTTAAAAGGTGATGAGGCACCAATGGCTGGTCAGCTGGAAGCTTGGTTGGAAATGAACCCTGGGTAGGTCTTATCAGAGATATTACTGTGATTAAAGGATATTTCCATTCATTTCCTAGTTTTAGCTCCTGTTTAATAATTTGCATATATAAATTAACCTGTCTACAGTATTAGTAACTATATTCATACTTCTTAACATCTAGGATTTTCAGAGATGTGTATATACATGTCATTTACACATGTGTGTGTGTGAGTTTTATATAACTATGTAATGGAGGTATGTTGCCAACAAAAAGTGTGATATTGAAATGTTTGTAGCTAACCAGGCACACCATTTGTATTTATAGTCACAACTTTATTTCCTGTATTACATTTGTTAAAATGGTAAAAAGTATAGAATTTGTTCTTGTTTGAGCAAAAATGATGTATTCCTATTCTTTTTTTAAAAAACATATTTATGGTTACTTCTCATTGTCCATTATTACCATAATTTTTTTGTAAAATACATAACCATCAACCAGTGCAATTACAGCTAATCCTTTAATACTTAAGACAAAGGAAAACGTATAGCGTCATGGATAGAAACAATGAAATAAAATTACATTCACTCAAGGGAAAGCTGTCAAGAAAATTACATTCCTTCATGGAAATTTACATTCCTCATGAATTGTTTTTTTTTATTTAATCTATGCAATATGTTCACTTTCGTTGGTCATAACTAAAGGAGTATGAATGAATCATGCATTCCCAATCGGGAAGGCCAACTAAAACGATGAAATTCCTCAAGCAAAGTTAAATTCCTCAGGAATACAGGAATGTAATATTTTGATCTCCGAGTGTGTTTTTACATTGTATACAAATAATGTAATACACTCTTATTTATAAATGTGACTTTTTTTATTATTTTCACAATTAATAATAGTGCTGCTAATAATAATAATTGATTTTATTGACAAGTCAGTTATAAAGTTATGGTAGTAGTGACTCTTTTGATTGATAAGCTTGAAATGTTTTCTGAAGGGCAGTAACAGAGAATTTAAAGTATTATTCCCAATGAGTTTATTGATATAATGAAGAGCAGTCTGGTAGGAAAAAATTAGTTTTTTTTGGTTCATTTGAAATTTTCAGTACCAACATTAATAAAAGTTAAAACTTATAAATTATTAGTGTGCTATAAAGAAAAGTTACAAAATCTAAAGCTGTTTAGAAAAGGCCTTATTCTGAGAAATGGAGGAGAAAATAAGTACTACCATTAATATATTTGTAATTGAATGAAAACTAGAGCCACTTAAAAAGTGGATCTTGGTCATGTGGATTCATATACAGTTGGACAGATAAGTGTAAAATAAAGCCTTTTTTTATCCCCCTGAACTGCTACGTGGAAGTTTCAAATCAGAAACTATACAAATGTCACTTCAGATATATTTTGGCTGACATAGGTGCAACCCAGCTGAGGAGTTCGGGTATCTACTGGACAGTAACTTGTGAGAGATACAAAAAAAAAGATAAAGAATGCTGTGTTTACACACTTTTGGACAAATTAAGAGGAAGATGTAAAAAAATGCATTTGTTGTTAAATGTGGTTTTCTTTTTTCATGTTAGGCCTAAACAATGCTTTGCAGTTTAGATGTTTGACAACACAGCAATATGTATATTCAAGGGTCAGTTACAATTATATATTATTATCATATGCTCTCAAAATATTTTCACTGGTGTGAAGTGCCTCTTGGCATCACTTTCATTTTTGGTTAATGATATTTATTAAGATATTTGTGTGCATTGCAATACTTATTTAACACTAAAAATCTGAATCAGTTGGACCAATTACGTAATATTTTGTGACAAAGTAGGGTCCACGTGAGATATGCAAAAGTGGGAATAAAATATAGGGATCTGTAGTACTTGATTAAAGGAGTGTTTTGCTGTTGAATATAGTAGTTGTAATGGTTTTTCTGTCTTCTTAAAGTTAACTACTCTCACCACTCTGTTCATGGCTGTATGGTGTGGAATAGTCATCTTTGTGACTGCTCAATTCGAGCTTTAACTCTGGCTCACAATGAAAAAAGCTTTATTAGGAAATCATTCTGTTTCATACACTTTTATGCAGCACCCTGTTCTTATTATTTTTTGATAATCTGAAGCAATCTTTATCATCAACAGTTTCATTGTTCTGCACCTTAGGTTGAAGGTTTTCTTTGTTTGTTTGGCATCTTTATTAGCACCAGCTGAAATTCTTCTCTGGCCTCTTTTATGGCTTGCTTTCTGTGCTACTGATCACATTCTCCTTTGCTGCACTGATAGTACATTGAGTATTTTGCTACCTTACAGTTGCAAGTAAGCTTTGAATCTGATGCCTCTGACATTCGTCTTCCAAAATATGTGCAATCTTGACAAAAGATCTGCTTGTTGTCATTATATATAGTTCCTGATTATTACTGGCTCTCTGAGAATCTAGAGATGTTGTATTACAATACCATAACCTGAGGCAAAGTTCAGTAAATTATTTCTCCATCTACCAAAAAAAAATAAAAAATTATCTTCTCCAGTTCTTTTTTATATTTTTGGTTAATGAACACTGTTGTATTCCTCATGTGACAGTGCATATTCCATGAAATTTGCAGTAGAATTGAGGAAATACAGGATGTGTACCTCCAGATGTGGAATACCATGTGTGTTGTGGTTTACACAGAAATGTATTGTTAATATTTTCTTTTTAAAGCTTTATAGAAACAACAAATAGCATTAAAAAGGCTTTGCATGTGTTGTAAATAATGCCTAGATAAGTTAATCCTAAATGGAAAAAAGAAAATGAAAGCCAACCTTATCTAAATTGCATCAGCATACCAAGGTTCATCCTTAAAATATCTGAACCTATTATGAACTTCTTAGCATGTTAGCCACATTAGACTATTACAGGCTTAGTAATATACAATTCTGAGACAGTTCTATGCTATTTCAAGGTATAAATGTTTGAAACATTTTTCACATTGCCTTCAAGATTTTTAGATTAATACTTTGATATATCCATGCTGTTACCTATAATTACACTTGGTGGAGTCAAAATAGGAATTTGTAGTTTGAGTAAATAATGTCTACAGTATGTCTAGCTTTGTTTCCTTACTTTTTTATTATCCCTATTTGCAGATTTTTAAATTCCCAATTTTTTATTTACCTTGTTATTCATATGTTCTGACTTAGAAAGTCCTGCAGTATTTTTTTTACATTTTTTGGTTTAGTTTTGAAGTTGCTCCAAGAGAGACCAGTGATGAAGAAGGCAGCAGTGATGGAGAAGATTCTTCTGAGGTATTTTATTTTACTTTGTGTGTGTGTGTGTAGAGAATTATTAAATTGTATACATTACATGACTGAATGTATCTTGAGTATAAAAGTAAAAAAAATCGTATTTTGAATGAGTGGCAAAACATTTCTTGATATTACATATATTATACATGTATAGAAACTAGATAGAGAAGAATGGGCATCACACATTTATAATAAAAAAATGATGAAAGTGAGAATAATTGTTAAGATCAGAGAAAACACTGTTAAAGAAATCATGAGCACATAGGTATCATTCTATTTTTTATTTTTGAAAAACAATAAACACATAAAATATTAGTTATTATTTGACACAAGGAGTAGTAATTGTAGCACCTGATGCTTATCCATTTTTCACATTTGAGGGTTCCCATTGGCTTAGTCTGAGGGATTATAGTACTCAAAATTGGGTTTCAATGATCTGATAAACATCAAAAATAGCCTATTGTGTGGTTTTCTGCTCTAAAACGAACTTTTGATTGGAAAAATTGAGGAAAGTAAATGTTTATGATAATGGTACTTTTTGAAAAGAACGGTTTCATATATTAATATGAATAGCCAGAGTTGCTATAACAAGGCATCAATTTCTCTTTCTGTGACACTCATTACTAGTAATAAGCATGTGTTAAGTTAACCCAATAATGATGACATGCTTCAGACTTATGCATGTTATGTAACTCATTAAATTTCTTTCCAATAATAAAATCAGTAGACAAAATTGTTTAAAACTTGACAAGAACTTTCATAAAATTGTGCAGTTTGAGAAAAATACAATATTTAATTTTGATTTTTTCTAATATTTCTACCAAAAGTTCATTATTTAATATAATTATTTGTGCTCAGCCTCTGAATTGTTCACCTGCAAGGTGATTTTCATGTTAAGTATAAAAATACTATTTTAAACTTACAATTTTCACATTTCACTTGGTTTTCTTAAGGTAAATGTATATATTTTATTTGCTATTTTCTCTACAACATCACTACCTCTACCTATTATCATCAACATACAGTGCAATGAAATGTTAAAAATTAAGAAACTGAAATATAAACATACCTTTTATCTCTTCATTGAATAATCTTCAAATATCTTCTTTGGTTCATATGCATAATTGCATGTCTTAACATTTTCCCTTATAGTTAATTTTAAATGTTTTATTTTCCTTTTGTTTTCGTTATCTTTAATTATTTATGTCGACAAACATCAACAGGTGCCTGTGGGCGATATAACATTAACATCGGCAGAGATGTTTTAGCTCCCGACAAAATGTTGTTTGCACTCACTAACCTTATGAATACCTGTTGATTGAGGCAAAGCATAGAATAAAGTTAACATTTACTGTTAATTTGGCAATTATTCCAATGGAAAATATGCACATTATATTGGTTATAAGCATGTCATTCAAGTTAAAACTGTCCTTTAGCTTTAGAAGTGGGTGGGGCTTATCTTGAACTTAAGAATTTTTACAATATTTGCCTCCGAAACAAGTTCTTTGAATTTTACTCAAGTTACTTATAAACAAACTTTATACGTGTACTTTGAACATCTGCAAGAACACATCTACATTACACACATTTTTTCTGGTATATTGACTCCAAAGTTTTGATATTTTGAATCACTAGATCATCAAGTGACAAAAAAACAAAATATTTAATTATTGTTTTATAGGTTTCTTTTGAAATAAAAGAATAAAAACAGAGATGATATAAAACTTTGAATTATAATGTACTTGTTAGAAATAATTTTGTTAAAATACATTGACAGTAAAGTAGTTTAATTAAATTTTGAATGTAACTCAGTATCATGCACAGAAAGGGTTTTAAAAATGGCATCGTCATTATAGGGTTAATTTGTAACACCAAAACTTTATAGTTACTTCAGTTATAAAATTTGAAGAAGAGAAACAGCAAACTCCCAGCACAATTTACTCAAGAATCTGCTTCACATTCTTATAATTCAGAAGATTGGTTAAGGTAATTAACAAGAAAGAAAATATGTGAAACTTACTCTAAAAACATAAGAGGATAATAAATTTCCTATACTTCAAAAGAAGTAACGATATGTAATTTCAGTTACTGGTATATCATGACTCACAATGCTTGTGTGAAATATAACTTGATGGTTGGAGGTATACAAAATGTTTAATTGTAGCATTTCACTTGTGTGTTCTACATGTAAGTCGAACAACTTGAAATTTTCTTCCATCAATTAAGGTGGGCATTTATCCTCAAACACGCTTCCCTAAAGCACCCAGCTCTTTTCCCACTTAAATTATGATTGAGTTTACATTCTTTCCTAGAATTAGATTTGATCACTAAGGCCAAACAACATTTGCATTACAATAAACTCACTAATATTCTTAGTTCTCAGTTTCTGAATCATCTTAACACACAAACTCATTAGATCTTTTTCCTTGTAGAAGTTACTTTAAATTCTTCATGTTATATTGTAGGGCTATGGTAGTTTTTTGTTGTAAGCCAAGAAAACATTAACAGTTGTATTTTTAGTTGTGGCATAGCAGCTTGTAGAATGGCTTTGAGTTTTTTTTTTGTTTTTTTTCAAGTACAAACTTTTAGCTCATAGCTCCGTCATCTCTTGACCAATTTGAGATCTAATTGCAGTCTTGGACTTAGGAGGTCAAACTCTTTCGATCGATGTATTTAACCATGCCCAAGGTCTCATAGATTAATTTACTTTAATTGTGCCTAAAAGAATTTCAATTTGAGAGTACACTGGTAGAGACCCTGAGGAGTAATAAAATCGAATGAGGTATACGAGCGACCCTACGCTTGGTATTGCTGGCACACAAAAATATAGCTAATAAAAAAGAAAATAAGGTCTTGTACATTAATTTACTGTAATCCTGCCTAGAATTTCCAGAGCTGTGGCTATTGAGGATTCCCTCTTGTTAATGTTGGAAAAATTATGTATCAAGTTAGTTGTAAGTTGCTTTTGTAGCTTGAACATCTAAAAATATTAGTAGGGCAAGAATATTTGGAATGTGAACTATCTGTAATTAAATCAACTATGTACCAAAGATGTTTAAATTATAGTGTTGTGAAAACTTTAAGAGGAGACACTAATTCATTAAAATCTATTTTAAGGAAGATGAGCAGCCTCAAGAAACAAAAGCATTACAATCTAATCTAAATGTGTTGTCAGCAACAGAAAATGTAAAGGCAAAGGACATTATTCAGTAAGTCATAATCATTTCATTTGGTTAACATCTGATCTTCTTTCACTTAAAATGCTGTAGTTAAGAAAATACAGTTTTTTTCTGTTACTTTTATTTTCTTAAAATAATAAAAGCTTTGTGAATTTTAAAGTACTTAGTAATCTAATGGTATTTCTTCAATTTGATGACAGTTTTCTGTAGGTTACATAAATTCAATTAAAACTAAGTAATGAGTATTTATACCCAGTAATCACATGAATAATTTTTCAACCATTTTTGTGTACAGTCTAAATAACCTTTAAGTATTTGTATGGATTCTGAAATATAACACATAACATTTTTTTCATATTGATGAACAAGTCCTACAAAAGTCACTATTAAAGATATTGGGTGAAAAACGAAGTTTGAAGTGTGTGTGTTGTTTTTCAAGTGATATGTACTTGTTTTAAAATGGTTAAAAAAGTGTATAGACATATGAAGTGGAAGCATTTATGCACTGGCATTTATTTGGTAACAGAATATTGGTTGAAAAATATTTTAATCTTAAAAGAATTTATTCTGAAAACATTTTTAATAAACATTAAAAGATTTTTATCAGTACAAGAAATTGTTTAATATTTTACAAATATAATTCCGTAATACATAACCACTATTTTGGCAAAGATGTAAAACTTAAGCTGTTACATTTTGTAAAAAAAGTCACTATCACACTTAGGGCCCCCCAGTAGCACAGCGGTATGTTTGCGGACATACAATGCTAGAAACTGGGTTTCGATACCTATGGTGGGCAGAGCACAGATAGTCCATTGAGTAGCTTTGTGCTTAACTACAAACAAACAAACTTAGGAAATAAAGTTAATTCATTGACAACAAGTAACAAGCCTTATGGTATTATTTCATATCAGAAATGATTGTAAAATGCATTTAAAAATAATTTATTTTTCAAGTATGTTAGTATTTTTTTATTCATTGTAAGCCATTGATTTTTTTTTTAAAGGTGGAAAAAATCATTTTAAGTTTATTTGTCTGGAATGGAAAATTTTATTATATTTTTTTTTTATTCAGGCATTGAATGCTAAATATTTTCCTTGGAATCCCTAACTGCTTTTAGTGAACAGTTGAAAATAGTATGAAAACAAGTTATCATTTTCAGCAAGTGATATTTATTGCCTTGCAGCAAAAAAAAATTTTTTTTTTTGTGTGTGTAATAATATCTTCACATAAAACATTGTGGATTAGCTTCATCTTAGTATTTGCTTTCTACTAGTAATGCACAAGCTGAAGATGATGAGTATAAGAATATACCAGGAGGCTATCAGAATTATTATAATATTGCTCATGCTGTTAGAGAAGAAGTGAAAGAACAGTCATCTGTGTTGGTGAATGGAAAGCTTAAAGAATACCAGGTTGTTTAGTTATTTATTTATTCTTTATTGGAATATTTATAGATCATCTTAAGTTAATATAATTAATAATTAAGTAAGTTACGTATTAATATAAATTTTCATAACTGGCAAGTCATTTTTAGGTTTTAAAACTAAAACAATAATAATAGAAACTAACAACAATGATATTTGTGCTTAACAGATATGAAAATAGCTTTCAGACATATGTGACATGTATAAAAATTGACCTTTAATGGTCATTATGCTATAATGCCAAAGAAAATGCAGATCAAATTTGTTGCAGCAACTTTTCTTAAACTTTTCACATATCTTTTTCTTATTTTTTTATGTAATAGCAAAACTAGTTTCTATTCCAAAAAATAAAAGGAAATGTGTTTTCTTTTATTAATAATACAAGAGCAAATTGTGTGAACAATGTTTTAGAGTGAAAAAACTGAACAAAGCATGATAAAGTGTGGAATGGAGTTGGATTGACTTTAACTATGTATGTGGGCTCAGTCATTTTGGCCAACTTTGTAACCACAATATAACTATGAAACTACACATGCTATAACTGAATGTTCTAAGTTTATCTTTACACAATTTGGCAAGCTTTCAGTAAACATCATAAGCCTAAGATATAAAGTTTTTAATTAAGTATTTGTATTGAAGATTTATCTGTAAATCTAGGGAGTCAGTTTGACTCTGACTAGTCTGAGTGCAAGGTGATTTTAAATATGTAAATTAATTTTCCTGTTAAGAATAAAAATACTTTTTTTCCATCTTAGAGTTTTAAATTTATTATCATAACCTTTTGAACCTCCTAAATGAATATCAAAAGTTTTTTCAGTAAATCTGTGTATTATAATATTTTCTGTTATTTTCTTTACCATAACTCTAAATGTTGTGAAATCAGCAATGTAGGATGAAATGAAAAGTTGAAAAAGTACAAAATAGATATAAATTACCCCTTTTCTTTTCAAGAATGACTGCATATCGTAACACTATTTATTCTTACAGCCAAAGCTATTAAACTTTTCAAATCTGAGTTTATTTAGTTTTATTGCCTTGGAGCTGCATTTAGACACTCAGAATGAGCCAGAGGCCTTTATCACAGTGGCACAGCTTTGTGTAAGCGAAAGATCTAGTTGCCAATGCACACTTTCAAATTTCACAGTCATACCTCACAATGTGCACATGCTATTGCAAGTAGTTTATAATTTTAAGTTTTCATATCTAACCTAATAATTTTCTAATTTTTGCACTTTAGTTACTTTTGTAACAATATATAAAAAATTCACATAAAAACAAATTTAGTTACGTCTGAACTCTTGACTTTTTAATCCCCATCTCACCAAACTTGCTCACCCTTCCAGCCGTAGGGACGTTATAATGTGACAGTCAATCCAGCTATTTGTTGTAGCCCAAGAGTTGGTGGTAGGTGGTGATGACTAGCTGCCTTCCCTCTAGTCTTACACTGCTAAATTAGGGATAGTTAGCACAGATACCCTCGTGTAGCTTTGTGTGAAATTCAAAACAAACAAACTTGACTTTTTGTTCTCAGGAAGACAAAGTATAGTAAGTATATTTTTTTTGTGAAACAATGTTGGTATTCCACAAAATAATTATTTTTTTTATTTGAAATATGCAGCTTAGAACAGAAAGTATCATCACACACAAAAAATAAAATGCCCTAAAACTAATTTTAATGACTTTCTAACTAAGCTATAAATGGATTTAAAAATTTCCATTAGCTAGTCAAGGCAAACACTACAAAGGCAAACAATGAAACTGTGGCCAAATATTTCAAAACCAGTGCATAAACAAATTAACCTGTTAAAAAAAATTCAGTAAAATAGAATCTTCTCTTTTTGTTAGTTATAAATAGTTCAGTAGCAAAGGTTAGAAAGAATTATCAATATTTTTTGAAACACAGGATGTGATAGGAGGGGCATGTTATGTGGGTTTGACTTTCTTGTTTATATGTCAGTAAAATTAGAAGCTTGGAAGCTATAAATTTACATTATGTTTTAGCAATATCTATACTGAAGTATGTCATTTGAGTCAAACTCACAAGAGCATGTAGGAGTAGAAAGAAAATCTAAAAGAGGCTATTTGAAGTGAAGAAGTGTCATGTGATACAGAGAAGTGAAGATTGAGAATGTATTTAAATATTTCTTTTGCAATTAAGAAATTAAAACTTGAATTATAAACTATGTTTTGATGCCATTTGTATGGGCATACATTAATAATAAGATTGTTTATTTAAATTTTGAATGTAACTAAAAAAAGTTGCACACTTTGATCCACCTGAATCCAGATAGTTAATAGACAACAGACTGTTAATCTGTTGTAATTTGTAGGAGGAACACAGTTTTTCTGGATTTTTATGTACAATAATTCTCCCTCATTCATTCACTGAAGTTTTCTATATGAAGTGATTATTACAACTTGTATATGAAATGTTGAATAAACAAAATAGTTAATATTAAAGTCTGTAACAAGTAAAGTAAAATGTCAACAGAAACTTGCATTTGTAGGTTATTGATTGAAACTTCTAGTTTTTGGGGTAATGCATAAAATTTTATGTTTTACTTATTTTTTCAGATTAAAGGTTTGGAGTGGCTGGTTTCCTTGTACAACAACAACCTCAATGGTATTCTTGCAGATGAAATGGGTTTAGGAAAAACAATCCAAACCATTGCTCTCATTACTCATTTAATAGAAAAAAAGAGAGTTAATGGACCATTCCTTATTATTGTACCACTCTCGTAAGTGTTTAGGTCCGCTGTTTTTTAAAATTTAGAAAGCATATGTTTCTTCTTTTTCTAGAATATATAATATGAATATATAATATGAATATTATTAAAACTAAATTCTTATAAAAATTAGATTGCGTGTAAAAAATAAAAAGTTGCTGCATATTGATCTACAGCATGAAAATCATATGACCAGTGGATATTTATAAAATACAGATACTTGTGAAAAAAAAATTTTTTTGATGTTATACAATGGTACTCCTAGAATGTAGTGCTGAATATTTGTGTCATTAGCTAGTTCTCTCTATGAAACAGAAAAGTAATGATAAATGTTCTGCATACAGGGAAGGCAGAGTTCTGTCTTAGGATGGATTTCTGTCAATTGAAAAAAATTTTAATTTCAATACCCAGAATATTGGATGAATGGCTACTACAAATGTATGCTTACGGTGAAACATTCTGACGAACATTTACTAATATGCAACCTTGGAAAAACTCATAAATATTGTAGACCAGCATGTATATGTTAATAACATAGTTGATCGGTGGTTTTCCGAGGTGAAGTATGCATCACATCAGGGCAAACATGTTGTTGTTGAACATGCAAAATTTTTGTACAATTTACGTGCCAGTTTAACGGTGATCCATTCCAAGTAATTCCCGTACACAGTCGTGAAAGTAATCAAACTCGTTCTAGACCTTTGTTCACTTTATTTTGTCTGTAATAGGCCTAAACTTGTGATTTACTTAGCCGATAACAACATAGCTTAGTTGTAAGAGGTAAAACTAAACAGTCTAAAGTTAACATTAATAATGATGTCATCATGAGCATGGTAAAGTTAGGTATTAAGGAGGCTTACCCGGCTGCATGCTTGTGAAACCTGTAAGGTCTTAATGCCAATAATACAGTTCTCTGAGCAATAGACTCCAGATAATTACTCTGATTACATTTCAGAGTGTAAAAGCTTTGCTATATCATCTTCCCGATTGTTTTCAATCAATTCAACTTCTCCCTGCTGCCATCCCTGTAAGCATAAAATGCTCACTTCATACAGGAGAAAAGCATTCTTCCATCTTCACCATTTGTAGACAATACATATATTCAGTGTTATGACCTAATGAATTTTTGTTGTTCTGTAGGGTTTTTTTTCAAAATTCTAGCTTTCTCTGTTTTTGATGTAAAAGTTTTTCTATATCAGTAAGTTTTTCATAAGGCTTGTACAGGGCATGGAAATCCTGATATTGAACCAGTTGCTTGTCTTATTATTTACTTTATCTTTTTCACATGGTAATACAGTGCTCCTTCATTAAAATGTATATGCTTGATGCCATTACTGTCTGTTACAAATAAATTGTATTATAATGAAACCTGTAATAATAATAATAGTACAGTTTAATGACATCAAATCTTTAAGTGATATATTATCTACACTACTGAAGCTCCAAAAGTTACTGCAAAAAATGTTGTTTGTTTTTGTGAGTGATAAGCTTGAGAGCTTATAATATTAAAATTGGGGTTTGGTTCTCGTGGTTAGCACACAGCACAGATAGTCCATTGTGCAGCTTTGTACTGTATAACAGTTTTTTTTCCTAGTGTAAACATGTTTCCTTGCACTTGAAGTGGCTTCACATCATTTAATAATGTTACAAAGATTTTAGTTTAATCTTGAATAAGTCTGATTAGATTGGGTCTTCATAGTTTCTTTAGACATTCTTTTTGTTCTTGAAAATGTTTTTCTGTTAAATTATGTTTGTTTCAAAACTGAAAATTTTCTTCATTGACAAGAGATCAGACAAACTTAGGTTCAGCAAGTATGATAGATGATGGCATTATTTTCCAATGGCTCACATCCTTGCCCCTTAGTGGCACAGTGGTATGTCTGTGGACTTTACAGTGCTAGAAACCAGGTTTTGATATCCATGATGGACAGAGCACAGAGAGCCCATTGTGTTGCTTTATGCTTAGCTTGAAACAAACAAACTCACATCCATATTTATTGAATATTATTGTTAAGGTTATGATATTAAAACAATGCACACACATAAAATAACTTATTTTAATGAAAATAAACTATTTATTGATACAAATGGACTTTAACCAAAGATTGTTAACTAAATTTTGATACTTAATTTGACTTGGTGCAATTTTGAAAAGTCAAGTCTTAAATCATTAATAAATCTTTATCAACTTCTGTGGTGTTTTTACAAGTTATAACTGAAAGTGGTGACTATTGTGATTGGCAAAATAAAATATCAAAAGAAATATTTTAATTAATATCAATGAAATTAAAAATGATTGGATATCCTACTATAATTTGAGAGAAATTTGTATGGGCATTTGTTTGTCCACTTCACTCCCCCCCTAGGCTTTTGCAAGAAAAAACTAAAATAGAAAATAAAGTATTATTTAAATAATCCAGCTCAGTGGCCATAAATAATTTTATTCTTATGTACTTTAAAATTTATATTACCACTGGCATATTTTGGAAAAAAATAACTTTAATAACTTCTCACTATGTATTGCATGGCTATACCTGATCAACATTAAAATAAGTTTCAATTTCTAAAATTAAAGAAATTGTATTTAATGTTTTCTAAAAACAGACTCTCACAACTCTCTGAAATTAGAGATTAATTACTAAGTGTGTTCTTAGATTTGTGCAATTTGGTTAAGTATTTCCACTGTGAGAAGAAAAGATCATGGAGTATCAGTGACAATATTTGGTGTAGAAAGGGTTAAATTCATTGATTTATTGGTGTAAAACTTTTTTATAAATACACTTAACAAGGATGTAGGTCAACCAGAAATATTCATATGATGACTTTTTTTTTTCTTGTATCCTGTTTGTTTAGGACACTTTCAAACTGGATGTTGGAATTTGATAGATGGGCACCTACAGTGATTAAAGTAGCCTACAAAGGATCTCCTAATATCAGGCGACAGATTGCATCACAGATGCGAAACAGTAAACTGAATGTTCTTCTGACAACCTATGAATATGTGATCAAAGACAAATCAATTTTAGCAAAGGTAAGAATCAATTAGTCATTTGTAGTAATAGCAGGTGATATATTAGTAGTGTTAAGGTTTTAATTTCATCAACAAATTATATTTGTTATTTGTTTGTGCACCAAGAAATCTGTGAAGAAAACTTGATCTAATTTGGTAATGTTTTTTTCCCAAAAATTATGTAGCGAATTACTGAATGAAATTTAAATGCGTCAGTAATTTTGTATGTCATTTATCTTGAAACAACTTAGTGTAGAATATTGAAATTGGTTTTAGCTTAATGTGTTGATGGGAATTTTTTTACATTGTCAGACAGCTTTTAAAGTCAGATTTATTTGTTATCATTTTTGTTGGCATAATTAACTTCTTAAGAAAGATAATTTTCCATAGATGGCCATAAATTTACCATCTCTTAGCTTCTTGCATGTGAAACAGTTATTTGCACTGTTTCAAGTTTTTTTAAATTCATCTTCATCCTTGTAAAAATTATAAATTAATTACCTTTATTCTTTGAAACTTCTTTACAGTAAATATATGGCTCTAAAATGATATTGTGTGCAATGTGTGTGAATAATTGAAGTATATCAAATTTGCTGACTATTTATGTGTTGTTACTGTTTAATAAACATTTTGAATTTTGAAAAATTCAGCTAAAACTTTTTTTTTGTTAAAAAGTTGAAATGAGAAAGGCTTATATGGTAAACTTTTTGGGGAATTTTATAGCTGACGAAGACAACTGACCATTCAGTAGCAATGCTACTTGTGAATAATCTGAAAGGAACCATACATTGTTAAGGAGTTGGTTAAACTCAATAATGACCCTTAGGGAGTCATTATGGGTGTAATCCACCCAGCTCATAACCACGAAAGTATCCATGAGAATAATTATACAATGATTATTGATAATGTATGCACATCATTACAAAATTTTGCAGGTTATTGGTAAACATTACAAGATTTTCATACACAAAATATCAGGTTTTTGAATTAAGTATTAAGATTTTTTAATTAAAAATTTTCTCAAAAACCTTTTTCTTTCAGAATGTTGACTATCCAACATGCAAAGCAATTTGGATTTTTAGATCAAAAATACTTTAATGCATTAGAACATTTTCAAATTTCACATGTGAAATTTTTATAATCTCCAGATAATCATCAAATTTTTTGTAGAAAAAATTTTATATTTTATTTGTTATTTTCACTACTGTATTTTGGTACAGGTTGGTTCACTTTGACCGACTTCTTAACCTCAATAAAAAATTAGGAAAAAAATATAACTTCTGCTTTTTTTTTTCTAGAATGATTACTTTATAGCACAAAAACATAAATTTTTAGTCTAAATAGCTTAAATCTCATAACATAAAACATTTATATATATGTATTATTTTTATTATATTCACCTTCCAGCTGTGCCTGGCTAACAATTCAGAAGTTACAATGATGCTGCGCACATGTACTCATGTTACCGTATCCAATAATCTATATACTACTAAAACTCTGAGATTGTTTGTTTGTGTGCTTGTCTGTAATTAATTATAGCAAAAACAGTACACAATAGCACCATATTTGTAATGAAATGAGAATAGAAACAGAATAAAACAAGTTTCGTTAAAATCGGGCCAAGGTTAACAAGTTAGTGCCATTTTTTGGGTCACTTTTCTTGCGTTCCATTATTATAAAACTTCGTTTTCCACCTGATGAATCACTTAAAAATATCTTCTATACAACA